GGAAGTGACATATTTATTCATATGTTTCTGGATTTTCAGTAATTTCATATTGCAACAGATTCTGAATTTCAATACAAAAATAGTGCAGCTTTCACTTTTTCAGGGTGTTTCTCCTCCAAAAATTAAAAAAAATTTAAGTAAAGGAATAAACATACATTGCTGTGCACAGAGAAAAAGACAACACCTATCATTAGAAGAAAAAAAAAAAAAGGAGGGGGACTTATATTTACTTTAGGTTTCAGATAGTATGACATGTCCAAGACTTGGCCTCACACAGTTTAAGAGTCCTTCTCTAGATGAAGGAGAATTAACATCATACTTGCTAAAATCACCATCCAGTTAAAAACAAAACAAAAAACCACACACACAACATACCATTAGAATTTATCCAGGGTAAAAAAACCACCAAAAACAATTAGACAAAGTAACTTCCCTGAACAGAACATCATCTCCTGAAACACTGTCTCTGGCCAGGAAACACTAGAACATCGAGATACATCACAGAGCCCGAGCCTGTAACTTTATTTTACAACCAAGACTTAACAACACTAGGTTAAAGCTTCAATTGGAAAATTCTGCTTTTAAGATCAATACCTATTTTCTATACATTTGCCCCAGAAATGTCCATAAGGAGATGAAATTTAGGATGGTCTGACTGCTTACCTGAGCCACAGAAATTAACAGAGGGTTTATTTCTAGGCAACAAACTTGTACAGAAGAAAAGTCTAAATTTGTATGTTAGAATCACAAAGCTTCTACAGAATTCTGCCCCCCACCCCCCCCTCCGCCAAAGAACCATCATTAACTATTACGATTTGGATCATGACAAATGATCACACTTAAACAAAATAACACCGACAACAAATTGCTGGTTGTTTCACCTCTATGTTGTAAAAGTAAATATTGCAACATAAATAGGAAAACACAAGATTTCACAAATATGAAATGCTGCTACAGTTTAAACAAGATACAGTAATTGTGCATTTTGTTCAAAACAAAGCAAAAAGAAAAAGTGAAAAAGACAAGAGTTTTGTTCCTTACTATAGCAGAGACTTGATTATGACGAAGGTTGAGCTCTGTGAGCGAATCCAGTCCATGAAGGTTTTCCACAATGGTTAGCAGGTTTCTGGCAAGGTTTAACACTCTCAGTTCACTCAAATGACTGATGTTTTCTATTTTAGTAATCTGTGAAAGAGGTATAAACATGCATACTGTGTTTCATATAAAATATATAAAATAGATTTATGTAGCACAGTGTATTTTTTAAAAAGTGTATGTGAACAATCAACTTAATACAAGAGCTTGCTGCTTGTGTATTTTTCTAAACAATGACAATTATGTCATAAATTTCTGAAAACAAGCTGCTGTCTGCTGGAGGTTAAGTACTGGTATTCACCAATATCTTTCTAGTCATACTGCAGTAAAATCAGTCAACACTTCCTTCCTTACTATCAGAAATTTGCTTACTTCAGCTGTGCTGTTCTGTAGCAGCAACCTCAAAGACACCATAAAACTAACATGACACTGGTGATATCACAATATCACAAAATGTGAAAATTTTGTGGAAAATGTAGAAATCAAAATTAAGTTGATCCTTAATTTCTCTGCAAATGCACTCAAACACACACGCGGATCTCCTGGTACCTCTGCTACAAGAATACGTGGCATCATATCTCCCTACTGTCACAGAACTCTGCACGAGTCTCCCTTCACGTTTCTTAAAAAGCCAGTAGCAGTATTCACAGCTCTATCTACACAGGCTCCACAGACAGACTCTCCAGCAGGTCATGAGCATGGGAACCTGCTGTGACTCAGGGGCAAGGAACAGCCACAGCCCTCTACAGAAGAGAGCAATTATTCTGAAATTGGAATTTGTAAGCAAGTTTTTCCAGCTGGTAGTTGCTGGAATCAGTAAGACGTACTCAAAATTTATCAAAGAAAGCAGCAGCTCCCTTAGTTCGGCTATACAGCACGTTTGCTTGACAGTCCCCAGCACTTCTGCAACTCCTGCCAACCTGTGCTTAGAAAATGGAGGGATTAAAGCAACTAAACTACAGTAAACAGGCAGCTACCCAAGGTTTTTATACTTAATGTGCTAATTTAAAGATTCAGGTGATATTGACCAAAAAAAAAAAAAAAAAAAAAAAATCAAAAAAGTAATAATAGCTCCCGCCCCTTAATTTTATTTTTGACTTCTAGAAATGCAACCATGTTTTACAAAGGCATTAATTATTGCTCTGTTGACACAAGCTGGGTTCATTTTCAGCTGTTTGTATTTCTCAGAGTGATCCACTCAAGGATCTCTATTCAGATACTTATTTCTCATAGTGGTCTGGGATCTGTCCCCCAGCATCTATCCAAACATTTAGGCAGGACTTGCATACAGCAATGTATGATGGAGACAATGAAGTATTGCCACTGCACAGTGGGATGTTCCTATCAGATTCATACCAAAACCCACGCTATATGGCAGAAAGGTGGCAGCAGGTTTTCCTGTGAAAAAGACTTCAAGCTTCCACAGTGTGTGGCAGTGCATCCAAGGATGTAGTGCACAAAGCTACTAACAAGTATAATGAATTCTCTTTCACTTAGAATGATCATCTGCTAAACCACTGTAAGCTCCCTTCAACACCCTGTACTCAGGCACACTATTCCTCTTCAAAGCTGCTAACAGCACTTAGATGCAGACAAGCAAGATAGCAACTGGTGTCACACACCTTCCCAGTGACAATGAACTTTCTGATGCTTTAGACCAGTACAAATCTGGCCATGCCAATTTCCAGAAAGCGTCTAGCAGCTCCTGGAATGGGAGAAGAGGTAAGGTAGCTGTTATCTAACAGTCTGAGAACGCATAATGTTGTTGGTAATTTTCATACATATATACACACATGTGTGTGTATGTATATGTCTTTAAGTCTATGACATAGGACTTGAATTTGCTGCTATAAGTATTTCAACAATTTTTCCATTAAAAAGCATACAAAAGTAGATAGCAAAACCAAAACTAAATAACATCTTAAACCAACTTTTGATTCAACTTCTAATTAAACTATTATACGTCATCCATTTATGTCTATTATATATGGAAAATAAAAACTAGCAGGATACAAAAATATGCCAGAAAATACCACCGTGTAGAAAGACTTGTAAAAGCAAAGCCAAGAGCAGATGGTTAGCATGAAGAACAACAGACGTCCGCAGATGTCTGTTTAGCTAGAATTACAGCACACCACAATGTAGAATATTAATCTTGGCATTTTACTACTATTGCAAAGATAACTATTTCATCAGTGATGTACAAAAATACACTTTATGACTTTGCTAAGGTTTAAGATGAACTCTACTGGATTTTCTTTGTTTCAATTATGCATGAACACATGAAGATACACCAGCTTTTAGTACATACTATTAGGTGAGGATTAGATAAAAGTCATTATCACCTCATCTTAAAGGATTAAAATAATATTTGTTTTAGTAAAAAGAAATTGTTTCTATGACTATTTTCTATTAATTACAAATAAAGAAGGATTATTATTAACCATTTTTAGTTGCTTTTTCAAATAATTCAAAGGCTTTACTTGTAAATATTGAACAAAAACACTATTCCATTTTCTTGCTTGCATGTTTGAATACTTGGCTATGAAATAGATTACAGAAAGTACTGTTATGCACCACATAATCACTCATCAATAATTAAACCACACAAAAGTTGCATCTTTTAGCACACATTTCTGAGATTAATGAAAAGTTGTCCATGCCTGAAAAATCAAGTTCTTTTTTTCTTTTTACCTTTTACTTATATCCTTGAACTTTTGGCAAGTAAAGTGACTCACAGAATTAAACAGAACACAAAGAATAGCGCTCATGACCTTTTTAAATTTAAAGCATTATAAAATAAGTTTCATTCCAAATAAAGTTAGAATTAAACTCAAGTTTAACTTGACTCAACTTTGGAAAGATGCTGTAAAGTCCGTTTCAACCCCACCTAAAATAAGAAGTTTTTAAAGAGATTTGTGTGAAACATATACCATTTATACTATTTACCTGAACAGCACAGATCAAGCCAACAGTCAGCACCCTCTCCATAGACTATTCAGAGTGCTTCAAAGCACACTATTTAGAAATTAAATATTTACTTCAAAATTAAATCTAAGTTGCAGTGCATTAAATGCACACATGCACACAATCACGTGCAGGGTCTCTGAATTATGTAGTAGTATATGTCCATATTAGTGTGTTAATAACCATAGAAACACAGTCTCTACATAAAAAGTTTAATTCAATATTATTAAGATGCTGTATTTTCTTACAAATTTTTACTGGGCAGTATTAAAATCAAGAGTATTACTACAACATGTAGGAAAACAGGCAAAGAGTAGTAATGAGACAAGGGAATTCACATTTTGTCCTTTTGGTAAAGCATAGGCATCGAGTGCAAGATTTTATTAGGCATGACATCAATTAATTTTTTTAACCTTCTTCTGGATATTTATTATATGAAAGGATTTTCTTTAAGTAGTACTGCATTTGAAAGCTTGATTTGGGGAAAAAAGAGAAATCATACCAGGTTTATCACTAAGCATTGTGGAATACTATACCCTCAATGTTTTAATGCACATCCAGTTCCCAGTACATTTCTCACTTGGGTGGGAGAAGTCTCATAGTTCAGAGCAAACCATATTATCCAAAAAACCTAGCACCCAAATAAGAAACAATTTCCTAAAAGTGCACAAAAAAGAAATTTTCCTCCTGTTTTTCTCCACTTCCAGCCTCCTGGAAACAATTCAGTCTTAGAGATTTCACAATCTGCATTCCATCTATGGGATTGGTTTACACCCCAAGAAAGAGGGAAGGAGAGACTAAGACTAAAACAGGAATCTAGCTTTCCTCTTAACTGCTACTACTCCATGAACATTAACTAAAATAAACTAATTTCTAGCTAGGCTCTAGCACTATTTTGGAAAAAGGAGATTAGTAATATTCATATTCTGGCCATATCCTATTTGAGTATTTATATTCTGCATCTATTGAGAGCAACTGCTGAGATTTCTTACCTTATGTAGAACTAAGTCTTATCACTCATATATAATTAAAGAATTACCATTTTTTTTTCTTCGTCTAATGTATTTGAAGTAACTTTAATGTAACTTGTACACAAGGTTTAATTGTTCAATGATCACCTGAGATCACAGGTAACATAAGAGATACTGTGCATTATTAACAATAGTTTTGCACACCAAAGAAATTAAAATTATTGCAAGCACCTCAGAATATTCCTGCAGTAAATTAAACTGCTGAAGTAAGAATAAAACCTATTTGCTCATATATTATGTAATGATACTACACATATGATATTTTAGTATTTTAATGTAAATATTACCTATAACATATAATACAAATATAACATAATATGTGTAACATAATACAAACCATAAAGGGGAAAAAATGGTAGTTTAAAGAATACTACTTTTTTCTTGCCAGATAGGCAAGAACCTTCAATGTCCTCAGAAAGGATTGTGGAGTATCACATTCACTGAACAGTCAATCTGGCAAAATGACTTGCTGAAGGCATCAGGAGGATTTACTAGATTTTGCTACAACCTGCTACACTGAAATCTGTGCGTTTTATTTAATGACATCAGAGAAGCCAAACCATGAAAACAAAGACTATGGAAAAACTGTATCATAACTCAGAAGTAGTAATGCTACTGTAGCAATTTATATTCCATCATATATTGCAGTAATAATATTATTGTTGCCAGGCAATATCATTTAAATGGTAGCATTTTACTTCTATGACTCTTCTCATCTACTAGAGTCTAACAAATCACCTTCTGGAATTGTCTGTCTGACTACAGAGGAAAGCTGGTGATACCAGAATCACTGAATGCAAGTTAACTCACATCTCAAGTACACTGTATGCAAGCAGCAAATATTCAGCTACTCCTCTACTATGATGAAGACTGTTCACCAGATATTCTCCCCTTAACAGAGCTGTCTTTACTTAAAAAAAAAAAAAAAAAGAGATGTGTCCTTGTCTATTAACTAAGACATGACAACTTCAAAAGGCAACCCCCTCCAGTCAAAACAGAACTACTCTATACATGAATACAAAGAATAAAAAGAGCTGTAAAATAGATTACTGTTCTAATACATACATAAATGAATCACAGAAGATGTTTCTATAAAAATAAACGGACAAAACAACAAGTTTGAAGAAAATTCAACTATATTATTTCTCAACAAAGAAATCACCAGAATACTCTATAAAACAAGTTGTGACCAGCCTTTACACTCAAGCGGTAACAGAACTGATTAATAGAAGCAATTAGTGCAAACTGCACAGAAAGTGCTCTAAAGACCAACAGATGCGACACATAATTTCACCAAATGTGTGGGATTTATGAACATTAAAACTACAGAACACTCCTATCCCCAAATACAGAGTGCCATTCAATGAGTACTGTAGTAGGGTGTTGATTCACTCCACTACAGCTCCATGAACTGCCAAATTCATCCGATAAAGAGGTTTTTCATGGCTTTACAGGGGACATTTTTGCAACAAAGAATTGTCACTTTAATAGTATCCTCAAAATAATTCTTTTTCTCTACTATTGTTTTCTTCTTCTATTTCCCTTACCACTAAAAATAGAAAACAAGAAAAGAAAAGATAGTGAAATTAATCTAAAGTAACCCTAGCCACAGAATCAAAGTATCAGTTGAGGTCAGAAGGACCTCTGGATATCGTCTTTGCTCACGGCCAACCTGCTTCCCACCAGAGTCCCCACAGCCTTTACAACAAAGCTGCTTTTCCACTGGGGAGTGCCCAGCCCGTACTGGTGCATGGGGTTATTCCTCCCTAGGTGCAGGACTTTGCATTTCCCTTTCTTGAATTTCATGAGGTTTCTCTCAGTCCATTTCTCCAGCCTGTCAAGGTCCTACTGAATGGCAGCACAACCATCTCATGTATAAAGCTCTCCTTCCAATCTCCTGCATTGTTAATAAAGCAGGTCATGAATGAAGGTGTTAAAAGCACTGACCTAGTATCAGCCTCTAGGGTACAACGATAGTGACTGGCCTCTAGCTAGACTTTGTGTCACTGATCACAACTGTGAAATATGTTCATCTGATTTGTGTGATGAAGTGTAACCTTCTGTACTTTTATGGATTTCTCCTGCACCATAAAAAGGGGTATTTTACAGGAGATTCGAGTAAACTACTTTGCTGGTATATCAGCTCAAACCAGTTTGACCACTGACCGTATAGTATTGTGTAAAGAGAAACTTGTAAAGTGCATGCATAAAGTTTGCGGTCATCCTGGGGGCACGCTGAGGAAGATTCGAGAAGACTCTAGAAGGAGAAGAGGGCATGCGCCGAAGAAGACGCGGCTATTCATGAATATGTATTAGCAGACAGGATATAAACCAAGAACAGGAACTGTACCGCGTGCGTCTTGGTGGAGTGAAGACTCCCGGCGCACCCAGCGCTGTTTGCTTGCCTCTATTCGCTTAATAAATCGTAAACTTAAATTGGAATCCTGTTTGGGACTCAATCAGTTATCACAACAACCCTTTAAGGCTGGCAGTCCAGTCACTTTTCCTTTCACCTCACTGTCCATCTATCTAGCCCAAATTTAATTTAATTTGTCTATAAAGATGTAATGGGAGAGAGTGTCAAATACCTTCCTAAATGAAAAATAAAAACCATCCATTGTGCTCTACTCATGCACTGCTCTTGTCATTTCGTTGTAAAAATGCCACTTCCTACATAAATTTCCTGGCTGACTTCTTGCTGTACTATGCTTGTAAGTGGTTTCCAGGGCTGCTTTTTCCATCGCTTTCCCAGTGATGGAGGTGAGGCTGTCTTGTTTCATAGCATCTGACGTATACTCATATGTTACCTCTGTTTTAGACCAATTACAGTCTACACAACAGTTTGCTCATTAAGCAGACAAGCATTCAGGCAAAATTTACAGGCACGTTTCAGCTTATCAACAGCCTTCTTGAAAGAATCTATTATTTCTTCCTGGAGAGTTTGGTATCAGAACCCCTTCTTAACTACTAACAACGACAATGACAGGTTTTGTAATGAAATTACAAACTTTTTCTTCAAAAACACAAAAAAATCTTTTAAAATCAATACAATCAACAAATAAATGTAAAACTATGCATGAAAGTCTGAGTACTGCCTTTAACAGTATGAGTTTTGCATTGTGGCCCAAGAATATCACATTAAGAAAATCCTGAAAATATTCCTGGCAACAAGATAGAAATGATACCACAAAGACAGCTATCTTGTCTAGAAAACAGCCTTAAAGTTTTGTGCCAGATAAAGAATATCTGTTTCCCAGGTACACAGCATTAAATTATTTCTCACATCTGTAAAAAAACACAACTTGGAATGTAAAACAAAAACAAAAGCACCACAAAAAAGTATCTGTAAGCATAAGAAATAAGAGCATGACTGAAAAGATGGTAACGTTAAGTAACATATACACCATGTTTTACAGTTACCAGAAGTGGGTAATGGAAAATGATATCCAGAGGAAATCTCATATTCATACAGCACATACAGATATTCATACTACACTGGCATTCAAGGACACTTTTGTACACTGGAAGAGAATTACATTTTTCCATAGTTCTAAGGAAAGACGACATAAGTGATGCACATCACAAAAGTGCCATTACACCTTTTATCAGGACAGTTCTTATTTCAAGTAAAGGAAAACTGCTGCCCATCACTGGTTCCAAATCATAAGACTGACTAGATTTTTTGTAGATTTTCTTACTTTGCTGTGAGAACTGGGTGCAGGATAAAGTACAAGCAATCTAAAACAGATATATCAAGAGCTTATTAAGATAAAGCAAATCCTATTTTCTACTATTTTTCATTATGAGTGGCAAACAGGATATTCTGTTTGTGCATTCTTGCTTATAATTGGTCTGTACCAAATTAAAGAAGAAAAGCATGTATATGTTAGAGACAAGACATTATATCAACAGAACACTATATTAAACTATATACCAACACTTCATTTTTAATTCTACTGATCTGTTGTTTAAATTGGTATGTTCTGCAATACTGGGACACTTATTTTGAAGTTCTCAAAACCAATTCTGTGGTTGAAGTCTGTTCTTGAGAAATTTAAAATATGGAAGAAATACCACTTAAGACAGACTAGAATGCTGCCCTAAATAAAGATCCCACAATTCTACATAAAGTTAAAAGACTGAGGCCTCCTATTCATTATTAAGTAAGCAAACAACAACAAAAAGAACCACCCCAGACTTCAAAACACAACACTAGTACACTAAGCTGGTATGTCTCAAATTCATCATTCCTTCCTTTATACCTTCAAAAATAACTAATAATATACATGGTAGATTGATGTTTTAATTTTGAATTCCTCAAAGACAGGGAAAAAAAGAATATTAATATGAAAACTTGCATGTTTTTAAACTGCAAAGGAACAGAAAGATAATTTATTAAAGACTATGAACTTCTCTTCCATTATTTGGTCTTTCCATGAAAAATATACTAAACCTACAAAAAAAAAAAGGGCAGAAAACAAGTCATTCCATTTCCTAACATTTATGCCCTTCACATGTACATTTGATTAAAACTTTCTGAAAAACAAAAGCACTTATCCCACTCCAAAGATTTAATACTTAACTCCTGATACAGAATAATTTGTTATATTCCCTGGACCAGAGTAGGCCTATTATTATGAAGCTGATCTAGCAACACCCAGTTGGGCACTATGCCCAAAACTCCTAATAAAGTTCTAATTAATGTAAAGGGAGTTGTACAAACACTGCAAGGGAAAAAAAAAATCTTATCTACTTCACGATCATTTGTAAGAGTTGTGCATGACCTACGTTTCGTTTCCATTCCTCCACATGTGCTGTAAGTGTGCTGACTGGCACAGCTGCATGTCTAGTCTGCAAGTGTTTTTATCAAAAACATTAAAAAATGCCCAAGCTTACAACAGCAACAACAACAGGATTCTAATTACACAAACACTTAGCCATCTCCAAAACATAGTCACTCTAAGACTCCAAACGCAATGTCATTATCTGTTCCTATACACCTCTGCCACTGTACAACATGCATACTATTGGACTAATGCTATTCAAAGAAGCCACAAACTTATCACATCACGTGTAACAGCAACTCATAATACAATGCTACCTTGCCTTTTTTTATTTTCATTATTAAAAAAGCATTCCCATTCCCCACTGTCAAGCAATTGTATAATAAAGAACACATACACAGAGAAATCAGTAAGACATCAAAACTGTCAGAACAGGAATCCAGAAAATTCACACATCGGTCTTATATAGTCACAATAACCATATGTTGTTTTGAACAGCTCAAATATGGAACATCACACATGTTTTAAATTTGTGTTACAAGAGAATACTATATCTGGCTTGCCCTTAATACTCCATGCTGCTTCTGACATACCCATTAAACAAGAATCTTCCACTTACATGTACTACAGTTAAAACTTCTTGCACCATTTGAAACAGAAATGACCGCTTAGTCTCAAATTGGGGAAACTGAATACACATTAAATGACTTAAGTCACTTCAGAAGCATGAATCAATCAAGAACTTGGACACATTCTGCTTTTTCCTGTACAAATTTAAGTCTTCTACAGGTATGTACAGGACCTCATTTTATAAGCTCACCAATAGCAGAAACACCACAACAATCAATGGAACCTTAAATTCTTCTATGACTTCTAAGACTGTTAAGGTTAAGCAAGAGTTTGGTAAGACACACAGGAAATGCATGATGTCTACACAAGAAAAGTAAATAATGAAGTTATTGTATGATACCTGATTTCCATGAAGATCTAAAACGTCAAGATTTTTTAGGTTCTCCAGATTTGAGATCTTCTTTATTCTGAAAGATTTCAATTATGACATAAATTATTTTTCATGTTAGATAAAAACGAACTTTCACTTTCCATCTAATAGAAAGCTTAGCCATTTGTTTCTGCCTACCAAGATCTCTTAAGATTTGGCAGTATTTCTTCTTCCCCTGTACAACTTCACTGTCTTAAAACTTCTCCTTCCCATCCTGCTTTCCCAGATTCCAAATGTAGGTTATTATACATTCAACAGCATCATCTACTGGCTGAGGATCTTAAACATCACTTGTATTATGCATGTCCTTCAAGAATAATCAAAGATCACATATAGTTTAAGCTGAAAACAAGTGGCTAGCAACTGTGTTTGACTTTTAATCATTTATGTCTTGTCCTAACTACCTCCAAACCATACTTCTACATAAACAAACTATACAGCACTCCATGTAGTCACCTTTTGGAAAATAATTCCTTAAAGCACCTAAATATTATCATTCCTATGCCTCAATATTTTGCTATTAACAAAATTAATTTCTACAGGTGAGATTTTAAATGTAAAAGCTATAAGCTCTAGTAACATACTGCACTACTGAAAGTTGTCAGTTTTGAACACAGACTGAATTAGGAGATACATTCTTTGTAAATCCGGACATAGCTGAAGGTTCTTTATCACTTCTTCCTTTACTGAATATAAGGAAATGGAACAAAAATCAGAGCACAACACTTAGATGTGTCAACGATTCCACAGACAATTCTATTTATCAAAATTAAAGGCTACAGTATTTGAACTGGATTTTTAGAAAGTAATACAACTACTCTCCCAGCGGAAGAGAATCAATAAACAATAAAATCTACAACTTTAGTTTTTTTCCCCCATCTTAAACACATCAGGCAGAAATACTTTTTATAGGTTATAAAGAATCAATGAATACTTTACATGATGTGAAAATATAACAACAAGTATTTAATAGCCAATCACAACAGAACATTCTATGGAAACAAATAAAATACTTCAGAGCTGTTGCCAAAATTTACATAAGAAAGGAAAGGAAGTTTCTGAAGAACATTATGAGCAAAAACTGTGTGCTTCCTCAGTGGGATGCCTTAGGCAGTGTTAGGAACCAGCTCACTGGTCTCACAGCCAACATCACAATCCGAAAACTCTGTATGTAACAGATACAGTGACAGATCACAGTTGTTCCATCATAAAGAAGTAGGGTGCTTTAAGTTAGTTTTGTTATTTTTACCTGTTCTTTCCCAACAAAAGGACTCTTAGGCATCTCAGAGTTGAAAGACCACTTATTTCCTCTATCTGATTATCATATAAATCTAAGAAAACAAGATGCTGCAGATTAGAAATATTTTGGATCCGGGTTATAAAGTTATGTTGGAAATTCAGAAGGCGAAGGTGATCTTCCCCATCAATAATTGGGCACACTGTCAGTTTTTGCCTAGAAAGAAAATTAAACAAAAACACACACATAAGTAACAAATTGGTAATGTGCCTTCTACGCACCCACTCTGAATGGAGCAAAGTATATTGTCTTGATTAAGGTAATATTAAGGTAATTAGGTTTGCTAATTAAACTCTGTAAATAAGGCAGTAACTCCTTACTATAAAAAAAAATAGCATGAAAAAATGGCGGAAGCGCTTCCACAAGTCTCTGAAAGCCTGTCCTCATAATCAGAGATTTGCTTGTTACATGGAAACTACATGGGAGTTTCACGTTGTGACCACATTAAATTTCAAGAGACATAGCCTGCCAACTTAATTTTTTTTTTCTATCAGATACCACATAAGCAGCCTGTTTACATCAGAATTCGAAGTGTTCTATGTCTATGCAATTTTTCTTTGGCTTACAGAAATTCACATTTAAAATACAAATACATGAAAGAGTAAGTGTTAATGTGAAAATAAAAAGATACAGTAAATGATGCTGAAAATGGTTATTCTTATTTTAGGATTATTACAGAAGGCGTCCTACTGACCTGACAAAACTTTTTAAACTACATGAACCTTATCCTGGCAAAAAAACAACAAACACCTTACAATTAAATGTCTTTCAGGTAAAACTTTTTTGTGTGTCCTGGTTCAGAAAACCCCCAACATTCTACATTTAATGCATCAGATTAGAACTAATGGAGACACAGCCTCTTTCTACAGATTATGTACATGACCTTGCATTTGACTCTTAAGCTAGCTCCTTAGTTTACAACGAAAAGCCCTAACTGCCTTAGACGACTGCTGTATGGATATACTCATCACAAGGACACTCATACAGAATTCCTGTATGGAACACGTTTCTCTAAGCCACACACACAAAAAACCCCAAAAAGAAAACCCACCACTCATACCATTGACCACAGGCATTACCAGGATACTCATCACTTTAGATCATCAGACACAAGAGTTGCAAGCTGTGGTGTGTATACTCCATAACCTTCTCACCTTTCCAAGGTTAGTCTATCAGAGTTCAGTATTTTTTCTTCAGCAGTACGTTGCAATACAGGAAATGTTATTGACGAATTGCTCCCAAAACTTGTGTTATCTATAAGAAAATCATATAGAGACTATATAAACTACTTCATATAGTAGTAGTACCACATAGTAATACTGTATGAGCTACTATGATTGTCAAATCATTCCATTAACTACAGATAAAAGCAGAATTTTCTTTCTTATTAAAAGTTACACAGTACATGAAAGTACATTTTGCCTCCATTCAGTACTTTGAGTTATCAGTTCTCTTTCCTACCATTTTTGTTTACAGCTACATCCCCTTACATCCTCTTTCCAAAGTACATCCACTTGTTTCATTTATGAGAGATTTAACAACAATTTGTTGTAAGCAGGTATCTTGTACATGCTTTTGTTTTGATTAGAATTACCCAATGGTGTTTTAAGCTCAGGTTGTACAATTGTTACACAATTTCAGCATCTGAATTTAAAGAAGATATTCTTTAACTTAAGATTAATTTTAAAGACCCAGATCAAGCAGATGTTGGTAGAACTACAAATCAAAGCACCAAAACACTGTAAGAGTCCCACTGAACCACAAATGCAGTCTTTTAAAGGTAAGTACATGCAATATCTAGTCATCATTGGTATTATATTTCACTTCATTATCGAGAAAGAAACAGGCAGCCCTTTAAAACATATTTAGAAAACTACCAATTTTTACCCATTTTATTAATGTAAGGGAGAAGAGGGAGGATGAGTACAAATACCTGCAAAATAAATCAACAGATGTGTTCTGCAAGCTTTGGCTTATTTGGCAAATGATCCACTGAACAATACTGGTCTAAAATAGATCATCATGCATGCATACTACAAGAATATAGGCTCAACTTCCACATGTTTTCCCCTTACTTTTTTCTTCCTTAAAATAATCAAATATGTTAATGGAAAACACATTAATTCTTCAATAAACAAAGACTAGCTGCTTTACTACTATAGCGAGTTCATTATTGTCTAAAATATGCCATTAGAAGAGGGACCTACAAGTAAAAAAAATTTGTTGTTCAATTTAGAATCTTTTCAGTGCTACTTACTCTAACATTTTATCACTAGCTACTCTAACAAACCACTGTAACAACCAACATTCTCAATGTATCAAGTGAAAATAACTCTGAGGGAAAAAAAAATTCCTTGAGACCAAAAATAATCAATTAACATTGTTGCAAAAGTTTTAAAGTCTTGGGTTTTTAAAGTCTCAGGTTTTTAAGCCAATATATGTAAGACCAGAGAATTAAAAATCAGTCTGTAACATGACATGATGGCAGTGCAGTGACTTTTTTCTTTCACAAATGTCTTTAGGAGGATGACATTAAAAGTGCCCTATTACTGCCCTTTTGTTAAAGAAAGGTGTATAAAAAGCCTACATTTAAATGCCTATATTATATGTTGGAAAATATTTCTAGTAGTTTCCCGACAACTACCTATTAACCTCGCTTAATACCCGAAGGGAACAGTAGGCAACACTTGCTATTCAGTCATACATTCTGACAGCCAGAAGGAACACATCTTACAGGTCATAACTTTTCAATAAAACACCCAATTAAAAATTTCAAAAGACAGTAACAAGCGAATTTTTCACTGTTACCTGAGGCATGTGAACTAATACTGTGGTTCCTTTGTCGGGATCTGGGTTTTGTAGGTGTGTGAAGAGAAGAGTCGCAAAATCCAGATAAAGAACCTGTATTCTGCTTCAACTCCAAACCAGAAAGTTCTGTCAGACTGGACGGTACTGGAAGATATAGCTGCTTATTACGCACCAAGGGACTTAATACTCTTTGGTCTCCTGTGGAGGGAACAAAATGAAACAGCAGACTTAAATTTATTCCATAATAGATTGCATAATGTCCCTAAAAATTAACCCATTCTGATCAACTGTTGGCCTTTATTTTTTACTAGAATGAGTAAAGAATTGCCATAATAATTAAACTTATTTCCTACCCTAACCAATCACTGGTTTTATATGACAGGCAAGCAGCAGTGTGACAAGAAGCATTGCGTTCCAAGGCTCTTCCAAGCTTCACCATGGTTAGCAGTGATAGCACCAAAAATCTTGCTTTTACAAAGCCAAAAGCACACAAGCACACTAGGAAAACTACCTCTTCATATCAGGGTGCTGAATTAGAAACTGATTTTGTCCAAATACATTAAAATGTTAAATATCCAATGAAATGTTACAGTAGAGAATTTTGTGGCTTTTGAGGGAATGTGTAGTAGGGCACTTGACAGACTCTGGTTTTGTAGGTAGAAGAAAGGATGCTCTTCCATCAAAAGAGTAAGGGGCAGAGTGATAAAAAAAGCCATCTGTGCCAGGCAGTAGGATAACGAGTTCAAGACGTGATACAGCAGTACTTATTGAATTACTGTAGTCGATTAGGAAAAGCTGTCACTCACATATTCTAATCATAATACAGTCTTTCTTTGCTGTTCAGTTAATAGACACAAAAGACAAACAATCCAAACCCTCTTGAATATCACCTTGCCGTCCTGAATAGTTTTTTTCCAGATCATGCTGCAGAAGTCTATTGTGGAAAGATGACTGTTCTTTATTTATCCTGAATTCAAACTGTAACACAGTATTTAAGACAAATGTTAAAGTTTTCAAATGCAAATAATCTCTTTACACAGACAACCACAACCTTAGTAATAACTACAGTACTCATGAAACTCAACAAATATGTTTAAAAAATTAAATAATTGCTCCAATAAAAAGAGTATTCATTCTATTAAGATACTACGACTGAAAAGTTTAACTTTTGGAAACCAAAATGAAAAAATGGAAGCTACCAGCACATTCATCTGCAGTTGACTAAATAAAGAAAACACTCCCACCCTATAAGGAGTACTGCAATTACATGGGGAAGAGAGGTACAGATGGAAACATAAGAAACCATATATATATAAAGTTTATAGCAGGCTATAGTGCATCCCTGTGTTTTTACCTTACGTATCTTTAATAGGATAAATAAATTACCAAAAGACTATCAGATACATCAGATATCATATTATTAGTTAACATATTACTACTGAAAAAGCAAATCCTATCCGAAAGCATACAAAATTGGCTGTACCACACAACTGCATTATTTAATGTAACTATTTAAAAAAAGGTAATAATTACTGGTTTGCTTTTATCTGTTATTGATGAGGTCTGGATAACCAGCTGAAGACCACAATTATTAACCTGCAAGTTGGAAGAAAAAGGAAGGGAATATTACATTTTTTAAAAACGCCTATCAATACAAAAAAGTTGAATGTAACTTAAAAAAAAAGAAGGTATTTTCCACAGCAAAATCTGCCAAGAGAGGAACTACTTTACAAAGCAATTATGAAGAATACATCACAGCACTAAGTAACACTAAATAATTTTTAGTTTAAGAAACCCCACTGTTCTTTGTTTAAAAAAAAACAACAACACTGAAAGGGTGACTTTCATAGGGACATTACCCTCATTATGAAGTAAACAAGTATTTACACTTAAATAGAATTTTTTTTTAAAGGCACAACGTGCTGGTCTTTTAATCGGCTTTACATGACAAAACGTTGCACATACCTGCTAAATAATCAAAACTTTTAACAGAACTATTTAACCAAATCGCTTATACATCCACCTCCCAGCAAATAACAGCGGGCATACAAATAACGTAAGGGAAGCTTCCTCACGCCAGTCACGGCACAGGGAAGACGGAGCTGCCTCGCCCGCGTTTGCCTCGCTGCCCTCACAGGACTGCGCCAGCTGCGAAGCACCTACCCGCGCAGCCGCCCTCCTCCGCGCCCTCAGCCCCAGCACGGCCGGCCACGCATCGCCTCACAGCACCGCAGCGGAGGAGGTGCCACCACCCCGCCCCGGGCCCG